CGCGTGGCTCCCCGCTCCCCCCTCTCCCTCCTGGAAAGTCCTAAGTGCCACCAAACAGCTGTTTGGTGGGAAGCACTGGGAGGTAGGCAAAGGAGTGGGGGTGCGATGCACTCGGAGGGGACATGGGGGGTGAGGGGAACTATGGCGGCCCGCAGGAAATAACTCCGTGGGCCATGCGTTTGAGACCCCTGCACTATACCCTGTCAGTGTGTAACCTCAGGGGCTCTATGAGCATGAATGCACAAAACTTCTGACTTGACTTTACCCGTTGCATGGATTTTTCAGTAGGACAAGGCCATGATCTGCCCTGTATTTGCAACCCAGCGGCTGCAGCATTGTAATAGAGCATTAGTACTAGAAAGTGAAATTGGCTAGAAGCGGACTGTACTGAAAGTGACACTGCTGAGTCTATTTTCATCATCCAAGCTGAACAGACGTCACAAAGTTAAACCAAGAGCGCATAAAGAGCAACTTAGTTTATTAAAAAATGAAAAAATATTAAAAATCTAAGATGTTATCCAGAACCAGGGAAGGAACTTTTAAACTGGCTTCTGGAAGTTCAGTCTTGGCAAAAGGAATGGGCCCAGCAAGAATCAATTACAACTGAAGAATCAGATTAATAAAACTTCACCTATTAATTCCCTTAAGAAAGTCTCACACAGCCACTAAAAACAAGTATAGTTGAACCTTGAGGTAAAATTCCAAGAAGCACCCTCCTGCAGCTGCTGAAGAAAGGGCTGTATAGTTCTGCCTTGTTAGCTTTTGCTGGGTTATGTTTATATTTCTGTGTACGAAGGGTGAGATTTTTCAAGCAATCGGAGGGAATTAGGTGTCCAATTCAAGGGACCAGACACCCATGGGTGTTTTTGAAAATCTCAGCTTATATTAATGTTCACCTGCAAAACGACAGCATTTGAGTAAAAGCTGAAATCCATTCTTCCTTCTTGCTCCCGGCCCTTTGCAGCAACTCATTGTATCGGATATGTGCACTGTTCTGAGTCCCTGCCGACATCAGGCGTAGGATAGGGCCCTCCCTCAGGTGCCAGAAACCAGCGATTC